CGGGGGATGGGTGCTTGTTTGGGAGAGAAAAAAACGAGGAGGTGGTTTGGGGGGTGCTGGAGGCTCGTCTTGGATGAGCCGGGAGCGCTTTGTGCCGCCGGCAGCGGCGCCGAGGGGTCCCCAGCGCCGCAACTCCGCCGGGAAAAGCGATGGGAACAACCGCTGCAACCCCCCAGAGCCCCGAGACGGGACGGGGCGGACCGGGGGCGGCGGGGCCGGGGGTCGTGGGGGGTCCCCGCTCTGCTCCACCGCGCCCCAACTCTTCCCCTTTAAAACTCCTCCTGCCGCTCGCGCTGACCACGCGGCTGGATTTATGGAGAGAGATGTTTTAGCAGAATCCCCCCGAGTCCCCCATCAGCCCTAAATCCCCAGCCCGCGCTCCCTGGGAGCCCTCCTGACACAGAGCATGCCAAAACAGCTTCGTTTTGCCTATGCATTAGCAATCTATTTTACCTTTTTGACATCTCTCACACATAAAACCGTAAGAGAGAAATAAAATATCTGTCTCTGGGCGAAAATAAAGCTTTGCCTCCCTCCTGATCTATAGGATATAAAATAAAGCCATGGCTTTGATAGTGGCTTTTCCTTAGACTGGAGTTGCTTTTGCACACACGGAGACAATGAAGATGGATGAGCCGGGAGCGGTGCATCCTCCGGGGGTTCGCTTCACCCTCTTTTTTTATAGCCCCCCCCCCCCCCCGCCCCCGCTACCTCTTCACTTTTCTTTCTTTTCTCTTTTACTCGTCTTTTATCCGCCCTTTAACAACGTGAAGGACCCCGCTCAGCTCTCACACGCCCGCACCCCCCACCGGGCTCGCCCCGGAGTCCCCCAGGCTGCCCTGCCGGGCCCCGTTCCCGGGCGGGCTCGGGGACTCCCCCCCGGCCACCACCGGCCCCTTCCCGGCCACTTTCCCGTCAGTCAGAGGCAGAGCCGCACACCTCGGATTTGTAATTATTTATTAACTATATTTCCCATAAACAATGCATGAGCTTGGAGTGTAAGCGACAACATTTAGCGACGTGGGAAGAAACCCGGGAGGGCTAATCACGGGGGAGGGGGGCAGGAAAATAAATAAGAAAAGGGAAAATGAATAGAAAAGAAATAAAAGAAAAGGGAAAGGCGAGCGGAGCCAGAGGGGGACAGTGCCGTGTTTACCCTCAGCATCGACCCGAGTGTGGCAGGATAAACTGGGACCCTCTAATACATAATTTAAAGATCTTTTTCTTCTTCTTCTTCTTCTTCTTTTTTTTTTAAAGCTCTTTTAAAACAAACCTGGCGACGGATCCTGTCCAGCCATGGGGTTTATTGCGCGGGGATGTTCTACAGGCTTAATTACATCTTAACTTCAATATTTGGATAGTGCATCAACAGCATATATATTTAATCAGGCGGAGGCGCTCTTTCTGTGGGGGAAAGTGGTGGGGAGGGGGGTGAGAGATGTGACCCCCACTTTCTCCACGGGCTGTCCCCCCGCGGCGCTGCCCGGGGTGGCGGGGGGCGCTCCGGTAGCTCCCGGAGGGGAGCGCGGCGTCGTCTCGGAGCGACCCCCGCACCCTGGGCAGGGCTCCACCGGGATGCGGAGGGGTCGGAACGGGAACTCAGGGCCTCCCCCGGCCTCCCCCCGCGTCGGGGATGCTGCCGGTCACCGGCTCCGCCGGTCGCTCAAAGCCCGGTATCATCCCCGATCCCGTGCGCGCTCGCTGTGAAAGGTTAAAAAAAAAAAAAAAACCAAAACAAAATCAAATTAAAAATGAACAGGGAAAGAGGGGAAAACTTAATGCTGTCGGGGGAGGGACGTGGTGGAAAGTGTCTGCGAGCGCGTGGGAGGGAAGTTTTTGCCTGGTTTGGAAGGAGGGAGCAGCTGGGGATGCGGGGATGCCCCGCAACGCACCGCGGTGGTCCTCGGCGAGAGGGCTCCGGTGTTTGTACGGCATCGGTGCCCCGTAAAGGAGAGAGAAATCCCATTACCCAGCGCAGCGGTGGGGAAAGGGGGATGATAAACAGGGTGATGTTTAACTAAAAAGACGGGAACGACACCAATAAAATGCAAATTTAAACTCGTCTGAAAAGGACTTTTTTTTTCCCCCTTCTGTATTAGATTTAAAATGAATTTGAGTTTGTGTTTGGGGTTTTTGTTTGGTTTTTTTTGTCTGGTTTTTCTAGTCTTTTATTTTCACTCTTCTTTCTTTTCTTTTCTTTTTTTACTCTTTTACTTTCTCTCTGTTTTTTTAACCTTTTTATCTATTAATTTTTTTTTTTTACTTTTTAATTTTCTCCTTTTAAAAACATCTTCTAGTGTCCCTCTTTTTCTCTTTCTTTCTTTTTGTACGCTTCTAATGTCCCTCACCGTGGCCGAGCGGCGTTGCTCTGGAACATCCCGGCCGGGTTCCCCGCTGAGCACGGGTGGGCTCGGACCCGGCCGGGAACGGACCCGGGCGAATTGCGAGATGCAGCGAAAAACAAAAAATCCACCTCGACTCAGAGGCCCGGCCCTAGGAGGGGACTGTGCCGCCCATCCCCGTGGCTTCGGGGGATTTTTCCCCTGCCTCTGGGGCTCCCGTGGGTGCCCCACGCCGGGACACGAGTGTCCCGGGAGGCACAGAAGACTCGGGGGAGCCTGGGGATGGCGGGGTTTGATTTTCGGATCCTGTTGGAAACAAGCGCGGGCACTTTCTCCTCTCAAACGCCTGCTCTGGGTCGGGGTTCCCGTTGGGGGGTGAGGCGGATGGGGGGCACCCCACTGCCCCCTCCGTCCGGGGGGAACAGCCCCCCTCGGTCTGCGCTGCCACCTCCCCCGAGCGGGGTTTTGGGGGGGGTTGCGTGTGTCGGGGCGGGCGGGCAGAGCCCCGCTATAACCGCAGCGGTGCGGGGGCACCCCGGACCCCCGGGGAAGTGGGGGGTGGGCAGCGGTCTGTGCCCCCCCGGGGAGCGGGGGAGAACCAGATGCTTTCGCTAGCGCCTGGGAAAGGAGAAAAAAAAAATCGCTGTGAAAAACTGGTGCTTGATGGACACGAGATGCTCATCTCCTTCCCCTCATTCATCCCCACCGACACATGTCACCGGGGGCCGCAGCCGAGGGTCGCGCTCCCCTGACGGCTGCCCGCAGCTGTCGCCTTCCCGGGCGGCGGAGCGGGGCCGCCCGCCCGCCCCGGCCCCGCGGCTCCGCATGAGAAGCGGCCCATGTGCGGGGGCACCGGGCGGGGGGAGCCCAGGGCTCTATTGATCCCCGAGAGCGGCGGCAAAGCGACCCAACAGCTGGGCGGGGGGAGCCCTGCGCGCCCGGTGCGCGCCCCGACGGGGAGGGGATGTGGCCGCGCGGGGGGGGACTAGCGAGGGGGGCAAAGATGATATCGCGGACGCAGCCCCTGGGCTTTTAAACACCCACAGGAGCTCCGAGGCGATGTCTCGGCCCGGGGACGGCCCCGGGAACTGGCTCTGCCGGACCGGGCAGGCTCCGCACTCCCGCCGGTCCCGGCTGCCCCCCGCGCGGAGCGGGCTTCCTGCCTTCCTTTTCCTTTTTATCTTCCGATTTCTCCCTCCCTCACTTTTTTTCTTTTCCTCAAGGACGAGGAAAACAGACGTGAAAGACAGCGCGGTCGGTGGGTACCGGCGGGGGGATGCTGCGGGCTCCGGGGAGGGCCTCCGCCGACCCCCGCGCTCAGCCCCGTGTGTGTAACCCCGGGCACGCCGGGGCCGTTCAATCCGCCGTTCCCTTCCTAATTCCCCGGCGGCGGCTCAGCCGGCCCGAGGGGACGGTGCGGGGCGGGCTGCGGGGCTGGCAGGGCCCGGGGCCGGGTGGTGACACCTCCCCGGAGCGGTGGCACCCGCCGGCCAGGAGAGCGCAAAGGAAAAAGAGAAACCTCGTCCCTCCGCACCGCCCCGGTACCGACCGGCCCCTGGAAGGTAAAAGCGAATTAATCTTTATTTACCCCCCAAAAAAGAAAAAAAAGTCCATCCCTCTGGCCGGTGCTCCTCGGCCCGGGACGGGCACTGCGAGCGCCGGTAACGGAACCACCGCGAAGTGACCGGCGCCTTCGCTCTGCCCTCGGAGGCCGGGGGGCCCCGGGCCCGCCGCCCCCTCCCCACGGGCACCGCCCCGTCGGAGCGCACGGGGCCCGGCCCCGGCGGCACCGCAGCGCTCCTCCCGGGACAGGCGGGTTCTCCTTAGTTCTGCGCAGCGCCGGAGCCCCCGCGCCCTCGGGCCGCGCCGTTCGCCACGGGGGGAAGCCCCGCTAAACCGGGATCTCGTTCGCCGCCGCCGCCGCCGCTCGCCAGCGAGCCGCTCCTATACCGGACCCGTGACCCTGCGCGGGGGGTGCCAGACGCCATCGAGCCGCCCCGTCTCCTCGCACCCGCCGTCCCCTCATCCGCGCACCGACACAAACCTACCGCTGCCAGCGGGCTCCGGCGGCCGTCGGTGTGCCGGTCGCTGCGCCGGTGGGTCGG